ACAGAGATCTCTGAGGGAGACAGAGATCTCTGAGGGAGACAGAGATCTCTGAGGGAGACAGAGTAGCAGGGAGAGATGTACTGCAGCTTCCAAACCCGGCTTCAAGACCCCAGGAACTACTACTGTAAAACTAAAACTAAAAATCCTGGTTCTGTGGGAGCTCAACTCCACCCATTCAGGCTGCTTCTATTGTTCCAACTTTTAAAAAAACCCGAGGCTTCACAAGCTGCTTAATTTCTGGGCTCTGAAGCAGACTACGCGCCACCTCTGTCTCAATCTCTCTTTAAAAAGAAACCAGAACAAAATACACCTCTTAAAACCATAGTATCATCATAGCATGTCGTTAGGGATCAGAAGGTTTACCTTAGCGTAGACCTGAGTCAGAGCTGGGCCAAGTTTGTCAGGCTCGCCTCGGAGAATGATGGTTTCAGAACTACTCTCCAGTGACGGCATTTCCACGGATACCCCGGTCATGTCCAGTATTTCCTGCAGAGTGTTACCTTTCGGGCCTATGATGTACTTGTGCTGAGATTTCTTCACCTCGACCGATATTGTTGTGGTTTTCCGTTTCTGTGGGCAGGAAGAGGTGAGCTGAAAACTGGCCACATGGCAATCCTAACACAAAGCAAGCTAAAAACTCAACAGAGGAGAACATTTTAAGGCTTGTTAATTGCCCCCCCCAGGGGCAGTTTGCTCTTCCATGCTGATTGGGGTTTTGCCACGCTGCCTTTCTGAATCACCTTTCATGTCTGTACAGTGGAAGCACCATACTGTGCTGACTTTCACTGGGCCTGACTAGGTACTGGGCAGCATCCAGAACTTGCATTTATACAGCACCTTTATCCTTGGCACGTATCTCAAGTAGTTTCACAGGAGCGCTATTAATAAAGATTTGGCACTTAACGGAAATATTTGGACAGGCGACCAACTTCACACAGATGCGTGGTTTAAGGAGGAAAGAGAATGGCTGAAGGTTTAGAATCCCTACAGTGTGGAAGCAGGCCATTTGGCCCATCAAGTCCACACTGAGCCTCTGAACAGCATCCCCCCCCCCCACCCATCCCTCTAACCCTTCATTTTTCACATGGCTAACCCACCTAAACTGCACATCCCTAGACACTACAGGCAATTTAGCACGGCCAATCCACCTAGCCCGCACATCTTTGGACTGTCGAAGGAAACCAGAGCACCCAGAGGAAACCCACACAGGCACAGGGAGAATGTGCAAACTCCACCCAGTCACCCGAGGCTGGAATCGAACCCTAGTCCCTGGCGCTATGAGGCAGCAGTGCTAACCACTGAGTGACCATGCCAAGGAGGGAGTTCCGGAGCTTTTGGGGGTCCAGGCAGCTGAAAGCATAGTCACCAATGGTGAAATGATTAAAAACTGGCAATGAGAGGCCAGAATTGGATGAGCACAGAGATCTTAGAGGGTTGTAGCAGCCTGACTTGCTTCTCACACTATACATGGATACGTGTAGATCCAGCAGGGAACATTAATCATCGGTTAGGAGCAGGGGTCCCGGACGGCTTCTCCATCCCATGGTATATGGTCTTCAAATAAGGAAGCTGTGACTTTCCTGGGGACATGGCATTCGGAGGCAAAATAAGAGGGTCCGCATGACAGGTGCAATGTAGGAAATTGGAGGCTGACATGGTGCATACCGGCAGTAGGATGTTGCTGTACAGAGTAGAGTGGGTTAATTGTCTTACCTACGAGGGCACTGAATGTAGAAGTGTGAGGAGGTGCTTTTGCGAGGATGAATACATGCAATTTGTTGGCAAATGCCACTTGGCTTGAGAATGTTAACCCACTTCTTTCTTTAATTCAACGTGGGCAGCGGACCTTGAACTGCGTGACATTCTTGGCCATTCCAAAGGCTGTTAAGAGTGCATTGGGAATGGCAGGTCACCAAGACCAGCCGATATTCAATAGACATAGAGGTCTGCAGCGAGAACACAGGCCCTTCAGCCCAACTTGTCCATGCTGCCCAGTTTTCACAGTTTAAACTAGTCTCATTTGCCTGCATTTGGTCCATAGCTCTCCATACCTATCCCATCCACGTATCTGTCTAAATGTTTCTTAATTGATTAAACTGTACTCGTTTCTACCACTATCTCTGGCACTACCTCGTTCCAGACACTCACACCCTTTGTGTGAAATGGTGCCCCTCTGGACCCTTTGTACCTCTCCCCTTAAATCTATGCCCTCTAGTTTCAGACTCCCCTACCATGGGAGAAAGCTGTTGGCTATTCACCTTATCCATGCCTTTCATGATTTTATGGACCTGTATAAGGTCAGTCTCCTACTTTCCAGAAAAAAAAGCCTATCCAACCTCACCTTATAACCTCTCTTTAAAACTAAAACTTTACTTAATTAACCTGTCGTTTTTTGGCAACAATCTATGAAAGTCTATTATCAATTCCAGAGTTAAAAATTCATCAAAGTTAAATCTCACCAATTGAACCCACATGTCCAGAGCTATAATGGAATCTGTACCTAAGATGGTACCATAAGTGGTGATATAAACTTTTCACTGTACTCATTTGAATACGTGACAATAAAGTTAATTCAATTCAATTTGATGGCCTGAGCCTCTGGATTATGAGACTTAGGAGTTTTACAGCATGGAAAGAGGACCTTTAGTGCATCGTGTCTGTGTCAGTCGTCAAACACCTAATCTCATTTTCTAGCATTAGGTCCATAGCCTTGTTTCTGCAACGTTAGACTTTTTATTTCTCTATTTCCTAAGATCTTGCAACTGAAGAAGCTGTACCTAGGTACCTCTGTGCCTAAGATGGCGCTGTAAGTGACAACTTGTAAAGTTTTCATTGTACTTATTTGAGTACATGTGACAATAAAGCTAAGTCTAATTCGTGCTTGCAATGATGTTTCAAATGTTCATGTAAATACTACTTAATTTTTTTTATCGTTCCCGCCTCTACCACCCTTTCAGAAAGTGAGCTCCAGATATTCCCACCCTCTGGATGAAAAATCTTTTCCTCAAATCTCCTCTAAACCTCCTACGCTGCACCTAAAGTCGATGTTCGCTGATTATTGACTCCTCCACTAAGGAAAAAAGTTTCTTTCATATTTACCCTGTCTTTGCCCCTTCTAACTTTGTACACCTCAATTAGGTTCCTCCCTCAGCCTTCTCTGTTGTAAGGAAAACAATCCAACTGTGATAATCCTACAAGGCCCATGGGAAACCACTAATTGATTTCCTTGTGGAGCTCGTTGAATATGAGTTCCCTTGGTAACAGGCAATGGCTAGGCCAACTGCAACTCATCACCTGAGCCCTTAATAAAACAGACACAGGTAGCATCCCTACCTCTGAGTCAGGAGCCCCAGATTCAAGCCCCAGTTGCTCCAGAAGTACACCATAACATCTCTGAACAGGAAAACATAAAGCAGGCCCAGAGGTTTCAGGCGGTCATGCCTTTCAATGAACGTTGTAAGACTGTGACTGGGCTAAATTAGAAAGGCTGCCGTTTGGGAAACTGGAACCTAATGACGTGGATGAGGAGGATTGGCCCCAGTACACTGAACAATAAAGTGGACCTTGATGGCTCTTGTGGCACAGTGGTAGTGTTCCTACGTCTGAGCCAGGAGACCTGTGTTCAAGTCCCACCTTCTCCAGAAATATGTGCTGGCATCTCTGAGCAGGTTGGTTAGAAACAAAATATGAAACAGAAGCTTTGTTCATGCCCAGGTGTCCTTGGCAGTGACCATCAACGCTCTTGATGTCTTTAGAGAGAGGGAAGTGGGCACCACAGGGGATACAGTGCTTTATTTCTCTCTCCAGCTCCATTTTAATTTAGTCCCTTCCCTCTCCTATTACATCCCCTTCCACTTTTGATGGCTTGCCAAGAATGAGCTTTGCTTGTTAAATATTTTATTGGAAAGTTAAAAGGAAACAATGCAAAAAAGAAAATCATGGTGACTTGGGTGATGGCAAAGTCAATCAGTTGTGCACAATGGCACTGTTGGGTATGAAGAGGAATGTTAAAGCAGACAGGTGTTGTTGGAAAGGGACCATGCAGTTTCCGTCAATGCTCTTGATACCTTGACAGAGGGGGGCACAGTGAGGGATATCAAGCTTTATTTCCCCCCTCCATTTTGGTTTAGCCCTTTCCCGCTCTCCCTATTCCCTCCCCTTCATTTTTAATGGTTTGTATTGCCTACAATGGGCTGTGTTTGTAAATATTCAGTTGACTATATAGGTGAACACTGGTGATGCTTAGTAGTTAATAGGAAAGAAAGTCACGGTGATTTGGTGGTGGGAAAGTCGTTCAGTTATGTGTGATAGTTTACAAAAAGAGAAAGATAAATGAGAAAATAAGAAAAACACAATAAAGTAGACCCTTCCTTGAGAGAGAGGTAGACACTGTAGGGGATACAGTGCTTTATTTGCTCCTCCAACTCCATTTTGATTTCACCTCTTCCTACTGTCCCTCACCTTCGATGCTTTGCATTACCTATAACAGGCTTTGCTTGTAAATATCTAATGGGGGATTTACTGGTGGCGGTTAAGAGTAAAAATAAAAGTCAAAGTGAATTGGTGATGTGGGAAAAAAACATTCAGTTGCATTTAGGAAGACTTCTGGATACATATTATAAAGAATAGAAAAAAGGGGAAAAAAGGGGGTCATTTTTGCTGATTGCATACCCATCTTGCACAGCTAGGTCCCTGCCCAAGCATCCTTGGAGACAGAGCACACAGAGTCCATTAATACTCTTGATGCCTTTAGGGAGAGGTGGGCACCACAGGGTAATACAGTGCCTTGTCTAACTCCCTCCAACTCCATTTTGATTTAGCCCTCTCTCCTTCTCCTCCTGATGGTCTGCACTGCTCCACGGGCGATTTACTGGTTAATAGCTAACAACAAAAAGAATCACAGTGATTCCAAAATAAATCAGACCCACAAAAAGGCTGTGGTGGTGCAGCGGTAGTGTCCCTATCTCTGAGCCAGGAGGCCCGGGTTCAAGTCACACCTGCTCCAGAGATGTGTCCAGAGTGGGTTCAGAAGAACAGGTTAATTAGTAAATATCTAAAAAACCCCACGGGAAGTAGGTCGTGTGCATTAGCAGACAATGGGATAACAAGGCCTAATGTGTGGGGGTTGGGGTAAAGACATGGGAGAACTCAAGCCCTAAAGTTGTTGAACTCGATATTGAGTCCAAAAGCTTTTTGCACAGCGATGATGGTATAGCGGTGAGCATAGCTGCTTTCCAAGCAGTTGACCCAGCTTCAGTTCCACTCCATCTCAATTTGACAGGTCTCTAAATCCAGGAGTAAAATTTTTGGATGCTAACTTTGCTCTGCAAATGCATGTGGGTTTAATTCAATGAGAAACAGAGTTGGAGCTTTAATGTGATGCAAATTAATGGAAATAAAGTAGTCACTGCTCAACAATGAGATTCTGATGTCACCAGTTACAACTTGAGGATAAAATTGATAAAGCAGGCCAAGAGGGCTCTTGTGGTTTGAATAAAATTAAATATAAAGCAGACCTACAGATGGGTCTGCAGAACCGTTTGTCAGTTCTGACTCAATTGGTCTGGTGG